GCCAGTGCCTTGCTGAAACTGCTCACACCAACCCCATCCTATTGCCAAGTCCCGTGGGCCCTTTTCATAAAGTTCTGAAGGTCACATGATCTCTGGGTCAAGTTGGATGCTGCGGACGCACCCTCCTTGATGCTGCTCAGTGATCCTTCCTCCTCTCCAGCTGCTCCTACTCAGTTTCTTCCCATAAACGTTAGTGTGAGCAAGCGTGTGAAGCTGGAAGAGTGGTGAGAAGGGAGGTGGGAAGGACACACAGGGGCTGGGTCACGTAGGGCTTCAAACACCAGGCTGCTATGAGGATGGTGGGAAGGTACAGGAGACTTTCAAACTGAGAAGCAACATACCTGGTTAGATTTGCACTATAGGAAGGTCATTTTGGCTTCAGAGTGGCTCACAGGTGGACCAGAGAAAGGGTGATGAGAAGAAGGGCTGGCAGGGAATCCGAGAAGTTCTGGGCACAGGGACTAACATGCGAAGGTCCACGAGAGGTACCAACAGACAGCATGGCAAGAAGAGCCAAAGAAGCCTCTGTGGCCCCAACACAAAGAGAGATCCAGGCGAGCAGAAGGAATGAGGCTGGAATGTAGGAAGCGGCCAGATCCAAGAGGGCCTTTTAAACCACATGAAAACACATGGATTTCACCCGAAAGGCCAGGGGCATGGTCTTAAAGATGGGAATGACAATCAGGTTTGCATTATTCAGAAAATCACCTGGCCACTGTGTGGAGAATGACCAGTGCTAAGGCCAGTTAAGAAGCTACTGCAGTTGACCAAGCAAAAATGATGGTGGCTACACTGGGGGTGTGGTGGTGCGGGCAGATCCTAGAAACTTAGGAGGTAGACACTACAGACTTGGCAATTGTATAGATGTGAGGAGGAATAGGAGTCAAGGACAAATCCTTGGATGATCTTGGGCAAATGGCTGGTGTTTGGGATGAAGGTCAGCTAACTTTTTCTTAAAGTGCCAGAGGGTAAATACTTTAGGATTTGCAGACCATATGGTCTCTGCCACAACTACTCAGCTCTGCTGTTGTAGTATAAAAGCAGCCATAAACAATACATACACAAATGCACCTGGTTATGTTCCAATAAAACTTAATTTACAAAAACAGGTGGTGGGCTGGTTTGCCGACATGTTTAGGACATGTCACATTTGATGTGCCTACTCTGGATCCAAATGGAGATCCTCAGGAAGCAGTTGGAGAAATGGGTCTCAGCGTAGGAGAAATGTCTAGGTGAAAGAATCCAGGAGCGGTCAGAGTGCAGATGGCCACCTAAGACCAGGAGAGGGGGAAGAGCAGAGGCTGAGGGCCAGGCCCTGAGGACGAGGAAGAGATAAAGGAGATCGGAGAAAGGTCCTCCTGAGCAGGGGGTGGTACACCTAGAGAGTGGAGCGTCTTGGCAGTCAAGTGAAGTGTGTGTCATAATATGCTGCAGAGAGCTGGGACAGCTTGAGGGCTGACATGCATCAACTGGATGTAAATGAGAGGTGCAGAATACGCCACCCCCAAATATGCCCCTTTGGCATATGGATTATTTTGAGCTAAAGGCCATTGAGAACCAGCAGATGCAGGAAAAGCTCTAAAAATGACACTGAGTTTTCCTTTTGTAAAGGAAATTTCCATTTATAAAGGAAATTTCCATTTGTAAAAGCTGTCTCCCTCTCCCATACCAGGAAGAGGAGGACTCTTATCAATGAGAAGGCAGGACTTAAATCTGCATGACAACTCTTACTAAACAACCCTTGTTTACCATCCTTTTCCTGGTCACCTTCCAATAAATTGCCTCCCCTGCCCAGAAGTCCAAAATGCCTTTTCCTTTGTTTTACCTAAGACGATATATGAGCTCAAGTTCTAACCACCTCTTTGAGTTACTCATCGCTGGGTGCTCCCAGGTGTACGTGCACGACGCACATGTTAATAAACTTCTGTTTGTTTTACTCTTGTTAATCTGGCCAGTCTCACTTACAGGGCTCCAGCTGGAGAACTAAGATGGGTAAAGAAAAAGATTTTTCCTCCCCTACATAACCAGATGGTTACATCCCTGGTGAGGGGGGTCAGTGACAAGAGAAACTAGATTAAAATAGGTTGAGGAGGGGGCTGAAAATGAGGAAAATGGAGATAGCAAGATGATGGGCGATTCTCAAGGAGTAGGGCCATGAAGATGTAGGGCGGCAAGGGAAGATGGGATGGAAGTTTGTTTGTTTTTTAATGGGAGAGATTTGTTTAAATGCTGATGGGAAGAGAAAGGACTCTTGAAGCTACAGGAGGAGGCGGGGAATGAATGGTGATCCCATCACTAACTGCCCATGGGCCCTTGGACCACTTCCTCATCTGTGAAGTGGAAGTAATGATAGGATCTGCCTCGTGGGGTCGCTGTGAGGAGCGGACAAGAAAATGTGCACACATGGCTCAGTGCACGGCGTAAAGCTCTCGATAAATCTTACTCTTGTTATTATCTCCCTTCCCCTCCGGCTTCCAAAATGAGCGAGTCTGGCTGTGCAGGACCCTGTGGTCTGCAAGGTTTCCCAGCTTTGTAGGCAGCTCTGGGATCCGGGAGCATCTTGAATTATTACTTTCTTCTGCTCTTCTGTGAAAGCCTAAATAAGTGATGTTCTTTTGTCGTAAAAAAGATCAATAGAAATAGCAGAAACATAAGTTAGGTCTAGCCCAGGGCTCAGGAGATGTACTAGAGGCAGGATTTTTATGAAGGTTTCCATCTCCTTCGGCTGGTCGGATCAGTGAGTGACTGCTCTCTAATTGGTCTGAGGTCAGGCCCACATTTTCTCCGGGGAAGGGAGAGTCGTGGGCCCTCTGCAGCCTGAGTTTTTATTGCAAGAGTGGGAAGCATCTGTGTAGTGGGTTACATAGTGTCCCCCCAAAGTTCACGTCTACTTGCTACCTCAGGATGCGACCTTATTTGGAAATAGGGTCTTTGCGGAAGTAATTAAAGGGAAGGATGAAGATGAGATCATGCTGGATTTAGGGTGGGCCCTGTATCCGATGACTGGTGTCCTTATAAGAAGAGGAGAGGACACAGGCACACATACAGAGAAGGTCGTGTGAAGATGGACGTAGAGATTGGAGCGATGAAGCCAAGAATTGCCAGGAGCCACCAAGAGCTGGAAGGAGCTGGAAGAGGCCAGGAAGAATTCTTCCCTAGAGCCTGCAGAGGGAACATGGCTCTGCTGACACTTTGATTTCACACCTCTGGCCTCTAGAGCTGTGAGAGGATCAACTTCTGTTGTTTTCAGCCACCCTGGTTGAGGTAACGTGTTTTGGCAGCCCTAGGAAGAGTCTGGCTTCATGCTTGGTGTAGGGCAGGGAGGGGGCCCCTGAGGCCAGCGTGGTGGTACCGGCAGTGGCCTCAGGGCACCTCTTCAGCTTCAGGATGGCAGGAAGTGACGTGCAGGCTGAAGCTTGGACAGAAGCAGAAACACACACCTGAGACAGAGGGGGAGGGGCTGAGGGCATGCTGCCCAGTGGGAGGGGCCGTCGAACCAAAGACTCTGGGGTCCTCAGTTAGAAATATTGTGTGTCAACTTGACTGGAGAGACATTCAGATCAACTTTTGATTTACAAATATTTTGAAAAATGCGACCCATTAATGGCCCAATAACTTCACTACTAGGAGTTTATCTTAAGGAAATCAGAAATTCAGATGAAGCTCTATCCCTCAGGATGTTTATCGTGGCGTTATTTATAATACTGAAAAATTAGAAACAGCCTAGATGTCCAATAGTGAGTAAATGGTTAGATAAATTACAGACTATCCACCAGATGGATTACTAAGCAGCCATTGTAAATATTTATGAAGAGCGTTTAATGTTTACAAAGAGCTTTTAATGACGTGGCAGAACGATAGTGATATAATGCTGACTGAAAAAAAGAAAACTGGTTATAAAATGGTACAATCTAATGCCAATCATGAAAAAAAATGCATAAAAAAGACAAACAAAATATGCCAAAATGTCAGAGCGGTCTCTAGTTGGAGAAATTATGGGAGTTCAAAAAAAAACCCAAAGAACAAAAAAACTTCTTTATACTTTCTCTACTTTTTAACTGATTTACTATATACATGGATTACTTCCATAGTCAAGAAAAAAGTAAAAACGTTAAAAATGCCGTGTACACGGTTTCCATTTTTATTTTCTCTGATGGAAGATTGCACATCAGCGAACCTTGAGTTATGCTAACTACTTAGGCCGGTCACAACACACACACGTACAGAGAGGTCACACGGGCTGTACCGGGCTGGCTGTAGCAGATGTACATCAAGTTACACAGGTGGAATTGTTAGGCTGGTTAACACACACCACCAATGATGGGACACGGTTGGGTCAGGCAGCCTCTCCCGCCGCCGCTGTTCACGGAGGTCTGTGTGTTAGGCTGGTGAGTGGCGCCCTGCGGGCACTCCCTCCGGTGGCCCCCGGTGGGTGAAGAGCCACTGGGGCAGCATCTGTTCTGGGTCCCCTTCTCGTCCGCCCTTGCCTCAGTGTTGGAGCCTCCAGCTTTCTGCTACCTCTTCCGAGCACTGGGGGGGCCCCAGCCCAGGCCCCAGCCCCGCTCTGCTCCACACACCCGGGGCAGACATCGCAAGGAAAGGAAGAGCCAAGAGCGAATGGATATGCTCCTGGTGTGAACCGTGCCCAGACACAGGAGAGGAAGAAGTGGGAGACGTGATCACAACACCACACACAAGCTTAATCTTTACAGCCGGGCCCTCTGTGTCTCCAAGACGTGTGGGCTGTGTGGAGCCCTCCAGGGCACAGCGCCTGGGAGAGGACAGATGGGGGACGGGAGCTGTGCCCGTTTGGGGCAGGCCTGACAGCAGAGCTAGGAGGGTGGATGGGGGATGTGTCTAACATGGCGCTAAATTGTTGAAAGTCACGACTATACAGACCTGGGGATCATGCCCCTCTCCCAGTTCATTCACACGCTGGGTTAGATACAGCTAGATAGAAGTGGAGATATACTTTTTCGAGGGAGGACCTTTCCTGGTGGTTGGATAAACAGTGAGACAGACTCCTGGGTTTGGCATGCTCTGGGGAGGGCCATGCGACGGTGAGGGACTCCCTATTGCTACACTCTGTACAGGACGGCCAGGCCCTCCTGCCGCACCCACGGTCCCTGGCAGCAGTCACAGGCTTGCCTTCAACCTCTTCGGCCTTGGAGAGCTCTTGAGCCCCGGTGAAATGGGGGCTATGAAGACAAGAGGGTGGGAGTGGGGTCCCTGTGGCCCCGGGGGCACCCCACGTGGGGGCTACATGATACTGCACTGGGTGGCCCCACAGCAATCTTTGATGAGCGCCAGCCCCGTCTTGGCCACTGTGGGCTTACTAGGTGGAGGCTCTGCTTTCTTCTCTGCTCGGGAGCCTGCAGCAAGGTAGGAGTACAGAGAGAAAGGGGGGAAAAGGGAGAGAGGGAGAGGTGAGGTGAGGAGAGCCCTGACCTGAGCCCCAGTCCCATCCCAACCCCTGGCCAGGCCTTGCTCCAACTCTACAGATCACCAGGTGGTCCTGGTGACTGTTCCTACCTGTGGACCCACTGGCTTTCAGTCCTTGGCTTCCAACCACAGCTTTTAGTCCTTTTCCTATTCAGTTCTCCTCACCATTGTATCTGCCAAGCCTAGCACAGGGTCTGGTATTCAAGAAGTATTTGGTGAATGGATAAATGAGAAATTTTGTTCGTCACTTCAATCTGAGGGCTCATATCTTTCAATTCTGGAAAATGCACACATTATCTTTTCAGATACCCCCACCTCTCATTCTCTGTTATCTCTCCTTCTGGAATGCCTATTATACATAAGTTGGACCTTCTTACCCTATCCTCCATGTTTCATAACTTCCCTTTCATATTTTCCATCTCTTTCTCTCTTTGTGCTGCATTCTGGGTAATTTCCTCAGGTCTGTCTTCCAATTTAATGAACCCCCCTTCAGCTGTGTCACTGTGTTTAATCCATTGAGTTTTTACTTCAGTGACAGTAATTTTTTTAGAAGGCTAATTGCTTGCAAGTCTACCTTTTCTTTTTTCATAGCATCCTGTTATTTCATTTTGGGTTTTAGTCCTTCCCTTATCTCTTTAATCATTTTGAATATACTTATTGTCTCTTCTAGATAGTCTGTTATTTCTGGTTCTTGGGAAGACATTCTCTTTATTGCATCTACTGACTGCTCTCATGGTGGTTCAAGTCTTCATGAGTTTTAAATTTTTATGGAGAGCTCATCTTCGTGGGGGTTGTTTTATCTGTAGGCTGTGTATTATGCGATGCTGAAGGGTTCCTACTGAGTGATGTTGCATTTTCTTTGCTGGGGTCCCAGAGATTTCACTGGGTTTATATTAGTTTTAATTTTTCAACATGGGATTCCAACACTGGATAAATAGTGTAAATTTGGCCCCCTCACTTGGCCCCCAGCATGTGGTACAGGCTTGGTGTCTTGATTTCTTGCCAGAATTCTTTTTTCTATCCATAACCCTACATAGAAGGCAAGCTTCCTTGCTCCTTCTCCACAGTGTTAGGTGCAGTTTTTCTAATTTGCCTTTGATGGAAGAGACAGTCCATTGAGGACACTGGACTTAGGCAGGGACCACGTGCCTTATGATTTTAGGGGCCTGCAGAAGTGACCATGGCCCTTCTCTTTCTTTATCCCCCACATTCTATAACCGTGTTTTCTTGAGATGTTAATGGATGGTCAGGGAAAACCAGGTTTGTGGCTGTAGTAGACAGTGGCGGCTTTGGGGTTTTGTCATCCTAGTAAGATTTCCACTCTCTTTTCCTCTGGTAACAGCTCATGTCCCTGTGGCTACAGGAGTGTGCAAGTGACACAGAGCTGGCCAATCACGGTATCCCAGCCCTTGGTAACAAACAGTGTTGGGCCTAGGAGGTGGGAACATGATCCAAGAAAGGCCAATGGGAATCTTTCCCTGAGATTTATATGTTTAGATGCCAGGAGAGAATGTCTATGGTGTTGCCCTGCTGCTGGCAAACCCTAGAGTTCTCTGGCCCCATGGAGAAGGCCTGTGTCGCAGGAGAAAATGAAGCTAACATGCAAACAGGGATGGAGACGAGAAATGGAAGAAAAGAGACAGCATCCCAACAGTGTCCAGTCCCTGAAGCCCTAGTTCTTGTTGCTCTTCTTCCAACAAATCCCCTTTCTTCCTTAGGCTAGTTTGAATTGGGCATCCACTTCTTATAGCTGAAAGCAGCCTCACTGGGTCAACAAAGAGAAGACAGTTCTTTGACAGCAGGATGTATTATCATTTCAATATGCTAATGGACATTGGGACCCTCCAAATGGAGGGTCAAATATGCAGCATTTCCCAAACTTATATCACACGGAACCCTTTTTGTTCTGAGTATCTTGTGAGGCTGATATTCTGAGGCGCATACTTTGGGCTCCACTCCTCCAGAGATTCCAACTCCAACAGAGGCCAGAGCCCCCTGAGCCTCAGTCCCCACCTTCTTGCCTCAGTGGCCATCCAGCTTCTTCTATGAAACGTACCAAAACGTGATTAGAGACCAACAGCTGCTGCTAGGACCAGCTACCTGGCTTGCAGAACCCAGTGCAAAATGAAAATGTGGGGCCCCCTGTTCCAAAATTCTTAAGAATTTCAAGGCAGCAACAGCAGAACATTAAAGCAATCACAGTACCCTCCTAGGCCTGGGGCCCTGGGAGACTGCACAGGCTGCACGCCCATGAAGCTGGCCCTGACTGCTGCCATCCTGTGCCCAAGTTGGATCTCTAGAAAGCATTTTGTTGTATCCCCTCTGACTCCCCTTTCTCTTTTAAATGCCCTTTTCTCTTGGATGGGGGGAGGAGAAGGAATAAGGTCTGCACTCACTGGCTGGAGATTTGGTTACTTTGTCTAGAGGTTTTAACTTGATTCTCAGGAAATCAGCCATTTCCTTGTCTTCTTCCTGCTCCCTGTGAAGACAGATGTGTAAAGACAAGAGGAAAGTACAGTAAGCGAGGAAAGCATCAAGGAACCGATGAAATGAGGTAGGAGGTTAAGTGTGTGGGACCAGGTATCAGGCTTTGTGGATGGTGCATGTATGTTGTTATTTGTTACATGTGAGTGGTGCATGCAAGTTATTGTGTGTTATGTGTGGGTGGCATGCACGTTGTGTGTGGGGTGCATGCATGTTGTTTTGTGTTATGTATGTGTGTGTTGTGTGTTATGTGTGCATGCTATGTGTATGTTGTGTTTGATGAACCTGCTCTGAAGCAGAGACGTATATCAACGATAGAGTAAATGTCTACCTGGCGCTAGGGTGAGACCCCAGGGCAGAGGCAGGGATATCACAAGAGCTAGCCTCCCTGCTGGGGGTTCAGTGAGCTGGGTAACACCTCTCCTGACCCTGTACCTTTAAGTCACCCTAGACACCTGTGCTCCCATGATTTTGGGGGCAGGTCTCAGAGAGCAAGTCACTTCAGCTCTTCCAAGGGTCACCAGGAGCAAAGTCAGTTGGCCAAGCCTGGCTGAGCCAGACAAGGTGCATCCCAGGGGCCTAAGAGGACCCAGGAGGACACAGAAAATAAAGAGGAAGTTGCCGCCTGGGTTGGAAGAGGCCCTGTGAGCCTCTCTCCTGTGGAGAGACAGAAGGCTTTGTTCCAGGACAAAAATATTCAAGAATCAACATTCACATCTTTGCTGTGCCTAGCCTCCTTGGGAGACTTCAGATGCACCACGGCTCCAGGGTTGTCCAGATCAAGGTGGCAGGCATGTCTGCAAATAGGAGACCCCCAAGGGTAAGAAAGGGCATTGGGGCCACCAAGGAGGGGGGAAAGGAAAGAACAAAGCTGGGAGGTGTAGAGGGCAGGCAAGGAAGCAGATCAGTACAGGGGGCAGAGTTTCTGTAGAAACCGACAGAAGTTTCTAGAAATTGCCTTGACGAGCTGAGAGAAAGCTTAGTGAAGAGAATGTGTAGGAAGCTCTGCAGTGTGTTATGTGTTGAAATTCCTTCCTGGTCACCTCCTGGAATGACTTTCACTTGAGACCCACAGGACTTTGCAAGACTTTTTAGAGCTGGATTTGAGTTTCTCTTGAATGTGAAACGGGTCCTCAGGCCAGAAGGCTGGGGTTCATTTGGATCCATTGTTTGGGGAGCCTTTGCCAAGGCCATGCATGTTGGGGCAAGGCTGTGAGTCCCCAGAGCAGACAATGGGTTTTGGAAGGAAGCTGAGGGTTGAGTTCCAATAGCCTGGTGCACGCGGGGACACGCCGCCCACTCACCTTAACCGCTCCACCTCTGCGTCGTCCACCAGGAAGTCTCGCTTCTGTACCAGTTTGTGGATCTTCTGGATTAGCTCGTCCTCTCTCTGCTTCTGCAGCTTGGTTTTTTCTTTTTCTGGGAAGAAGAAAACATCAGCAAAGAAACAGCTGAGTGGAACTGTTGAAAGCACTTGAGTCCGAGGGGCCAGGGTTGGAATCCTGCCTCTACCATTTCACTCGCTGGGTGAACTTGGAGAAGCAACTTGACCTCTTCAAGCCTCAGTTTCCCCCTCTACGAAATGCACACAGTGAGGCTTACAGGCAGTGATGTTAGTAAAGGGCTTAGCATGGAGCTCAGCCAGTGGGGAGCCCTCAGTGAGTGGTAATGATGTAGCCAGGGGGCCACACAGAAGGCAGAGGGTGAGGAGAGCCCAGGTGGAGGCGTGGGAGGCAACTACTTATAACGAGAGTCAACCAGTCTGTCAGATGAAAAGCATCCGTGTTGGTGGCATTAGTCCTGTCCCCAATTCCAAGGGCTAGAACGCCAAAGAGTAAACAAAGAAGGGGGCTGGAGACGAGGATGGAGAAAATGAGGGCAGAAACTTAAATCCGCTTCCCGCTCCCTCTGCTCAGACCCCTTCAGAAGATAAAAAACGTGGGCAGCGTGTCGTCTGCCCGCCTAGGACTGGCGCTGACAATTTCCTCTAGAGGAAATTGGAGGCAGAACCAGGGGCGAGGGGAATATAATATTTGGTGAAGTGAGAAAGTTGGATTCTCCCGTTAACCAGAGGGGACGTGGGGAAGGGGTGGAATTGCTGGCAGACCGGATTCCCGGCCATCGCTGAGTTGATGATGGTGGCATCACTCCTCCTGTGGGACGTCCTGCGGTCCGATTCCCCAAATCACTCATCAGCATCACACAGCCTTCCTGCTCTCTGCAAGTGAGTTAACCACGCGCCTTGGCTCAGCTTGCTCAGGGCGTCCGTGGTGTCAGTGTCCTCTCCAAGTAACCAAGGACGGCCCTCCCCAGATCTTTGCCAGAGCCACGTAAGGACTGGCAGGGCCCTCAGGAACTGGCAAACCTCCCTCCCCAAGTTATTTATCCCCATTTTCTCTTGGGGGCCAGGTCAGGCACCCCCAGCCTCCCCAGAGAGGGGAGGCTTATATATAATATAATATATTATATTATATAATGCATAGAATATGCTTAGCACCCAGAGCCTGGCATAAATTACCCACTCAATGAACATCACTTTCTAATGGCAATTATTATTTGTCAATATACAAAATTAAGCTATAAGAATCTAAACACGTTTTCTTAAATATTCTTTAAATTATTCGATAGAACAAAGAACTCTTCTCTCATTTTTTTGTGTGGGAACCTAGTATCCCCTGGTGAGTTTTTGCAAGTTATTGTATGCTCTCAGGGACGTAATTCTGTTTGACTTCCTCATCTTTCCAATACCAGTAGTGGGTGCAGTTAGCACAGGAATGTCCACATCTGTGAGGTGTGTTTCTTTGACTATCCTGTTGCCACCCAAGTTGGGCATTGGAAAGGGGAAATGGGGGAGGAAGGAACAACCGTCTATTACCGTCTTAGTTTGGGTGGCTATAACGCTGGGTGTGTTACACCGGGTGGCTTTAATAATGGACACGTATTTCTCACAGTTCTGGAGTCTGGGAAGTCTAAGACGAAGGTGCTGGCAGATTCGGTGTCCGATGAGAGCTCTCTTCCTGGTTTGCTGATGGTCATCTTCTCGTTATGTCCTCACATGGTGGAGAAAGAGAGGGCTCTGGTCTCATCCTCTTCTTAAAAGGGCACTAATCCCGTCATGGGGGCGCCACCTCATGACGTCATCAATCACCTCCCCAAAACCCCACCTCCTAATACCACCACAGTGGGGATTAGGGCTCCAACATACGAATTCTGGGGAGACAACCAACCATGAATTCTGGGGAGGGTCCATAGACCTTCCTTTTCCAAAAACCCCCTAAATCCTCTCTGTCACCCTTGTTCTCCTCATTTGACGGATGAGGAAATTAACACTCTGAGACATGCCTGGAGCCGTCCGTGGCTGCGCGACTTATAAGTGCTGGCTCCCCAAATAATTGCATTCAGTCATGGGAGCAGAATTAACCACCGCATCATATCCGTCCAAGGAGCGTGACGCCTTATTAGTAATAAGTGAGGAGACCCAGCTTGAGATATGTTTGTGCTCGAGTTCAGGTTCCTTTGATCCCCAAATCTACCACTCAGATGTTCAAGTTACGTCACCTCTGGTGCTCGGTTTCCACAGCATAAAACGGGAATAATAATAGTGCCTTTTTACTGTTGAAAGGATTTTATGGCGTAAGGAGGTGAAATGCCTATGAAGAGCCTGATATGGTAAGTGTTTGATGCATGTTGGGCGTTATTAGCTGAGATGCACAATCAGCAGAGGTTTGGTTTTATTGGGGGATAATCTTCCTGTCTGCTGTCATCTATGGAGAGCAGAGTCCCAACGGGAGGAGACACAAATCAGGGGAGTTCTGGGTTGGGGGGTGTTTCCATCAAGTGTCTCGACAGTGGGTAAACCTGGGGATCCCACGAGAGCCCCTGATGTCTTAAAGCAAAAAGTGGACATGAGGAAGGAGGAATAGCTGCTCGGGGACGTGGTCAAGGAGGAGGGAAGGGAAAAACCATTTACGGAGGGCTCAGCAGGTGCCAAGCATTTTCCATTAGTTGCGTTACTTAATTGCAAAGCCACACTGCAAGATAGGAGATATTATCCCCATTTTACAGATGAGAGAAAAGATGCCAGCCAAGTTGATGAACTGGTTCAAAGTGTCACAGCTAGAGAGGAGTGGGACTTACAAAATTAGAATCCATGGCTACTCGGGCTCAAAATCCCACGTCTGTATATTGATGCAAACTTCCCCTCCAGCTAGCCCAGCCGGGTAAACTGAGGCATGCAGTGACAAGGAGGGCTTAAGGAAGAGATGTCACGGCTCCTCCTTAAACGTCTCTCCTTCCCATTACCAGTTGCTGCCTATATACTCTTTCAAAATGTAATAATGGTTTTAAATTTTCTTGTCATCTCGATTTGATATGAGAAATCTGGGATTTCCAAATTGACAGAGAAGCCCGATTTTAAAGATGCTGGAAGGCAAACATCTGTGAAACATCACAAGTACAATGTCAACATATGTCTCTGTGAAAGGAAATCGCTGAGGTTCTCAATTTACGGCCAATCGATCTTGGAGGCCGGGATGCTTGCAAATTTAAATGCATGTTGAAGCTATAGGAATGGCTAATTAATTTAGTTTGCATGCCTATAAGATTTTTCATTGTTTCCAGTTTAAAAAAAATTCTTTTTTTGAATGGGGAATGTGTACATATGGCAAAAAAAATTAAACAGGAAGAAAAAAGTGTACAGTGGAAAGGAGATTTCTCTCTCATCCTAACCACGAGTTCCTCTTCCCCAAACATCACAAATATGGCTGACTTTTTTAAAAACTTTCCAGAAGATACCCTCTTTATATAGAAGAATGTATGTATATACAGTCCCCTTCCAGTTTTAAAAAATATAAATGGGGGCTGGCCTGGTGGCACAA